AAAAAAAAAAAACAAAGAGTGAAACAATTCCTGGTCCAAGTGGTGTGTGTCATTCCAAAAAAAATGTTTACATCAGGAAAACTGAGTCAGCTCCAAGCTCCTGACCCCTCACTTGTACAAGGCTGGAATTTGGTTTTCTAAGATCCTCCAGCCTCCATTAAACAATTTCTGCCTGAATTTCTCTTGACACCACCAATAACAGAATTCCTCATTCAGGCTGATCTGACTGAAGCCAAAATCCAGACTGCTCCTGAGAAGTGGAAAAGCAGGAAAAGCTCATGGTAATCTCCCCTTCAGTGGATAAAAAGGAGGTAACAGTCAGCTCTACTTCAAAAGACACATTATTATTCCCAAAAAGACAATTACACATGAACCTGAACCATAAGGGACAGTTTTCCCTTTGGAGGTCTGACCATGGGAATCATAAGCAAACTTTTAATCCCAGTGTTAACTCAGTTTTCAGTGAAAATCAATTTAGGTTCAAAAAATAAACCCACACAAAATCCCCACCCAACAGCAGCCCAGAATCCCAATTTTTCCCAAGTGCCAGCCTTGGGGGCAGCTTTATTGAAGCAAAAAGTGCCACTTAATACATTAATGGAATTCATGGAATTCTCATTTCCACCCAAAAGCAGCTTAGCATAAATCCTGTGAAACACTCAGCTTTATGCTTGCAGCCTTTACTATCAAACACAATTTGTATTATTTCAGGGAGTTTCCCTAAGTTTTAGGCTGTGTAGCTCCTTAAATATATCCACAATTACAACACCCCTTACTTGTGTGCAGCCACAAAATGCAAAGAGTAGATTTGGGTCCAGACATTGTGTTTTAAGACTGTTTAGAGAACAAACCTCATTAAATCAACCAGGCAATAAAAAGGCAATGCACTGGTTCATTTCATCTATTTCTCCTGAATCTGACAGTCTCAGATTGCTCAGATATTCTGATAGAACTCCCTCCCCTCTCACCAACTCTGGTCAGCAGCTCTGCCTGGTAAAACACAACCAGGAACAAAAAAAAATCAGTGGTGTCAGAATAAGGAACACAGAAAACCAGAGGTAGTAGAATAAAACCAGATGAACACACAAAGTCAGTGGTGTGAGAATAAAACCAGAGGAACACCAGGAGCAGTGGCACAAAGCAGAACCTGCTGCTTCCCACACCCATCCAAGCCTGGAAAGGCAGCAGGATAATTACAGACACACTGACCAACTGGGATTATTGGCATCCACTGCTTTTTTTGGAGTTTTTTTTTCTGTCCCAAGTAAGGACATGGAATAGAACTGCAAATTCTGTAAGTTATTCATCATAGTCAAGCAGATTCAGCAAAATGGGCTTGCAAAGGTTCATATCCCATTAGTGCTGCCAGAGGTGGCTCAGCTCAGCTGAATTCCATGGGGAATGTTCATGCAAGAGGGATTTAAGAGCAGCTTTGAACCCTCTGTGTAAATACAAACATTGCTTGTCCATCCTCCAGGTAAAATCCTCACACCAGTTAAAATTCCCTGGGTATGTGTGGGCTAGGATTGGGATGACCCTGACTTTGGGAATGCCTGGTTTGGGTACTGCAGAGGAGCCCCAAAGAGGGGACCCCAAGGGAAGATCCTCCAAAGGCCAGAAAAGCAGGGACAAAATTAAAACCCAAAGGAAACATGGATCCATGGGGGAATGTGAACCTGCCTGGGACTGGATGAGCCTGAAGGTCTTTTCCAACTGCAATGATTTATGAGTTCATTCACTCTGCCCTCCCTTTTACCACCTTAGGGTGGCTTATCAAGATTTCTTGCTTGTTGGCCCAGCAGCACTTGGAAAAAAGCTCTTTTCTCCCACATTTCCACTGCACCCTGAGCATTATCCAGAGTACCTGGATGAGCTGGAACAGAAGACAGCTGCTCCTGTGACAGGGAGTGATTTTTGTGCTGCTTCTGAAAGGCAGGTGCCCCTCACAGAGAAATGGCAATCACTGGCTGTGATTTGGGATTCAGGAAGCAATTCCAAGCAAAATGTCTGTGCTGCCTGCAGCCAGATCTCCCAAATGCAAGGAGCAGGCAGATGAATAAGCACACTTTTAATGATGCAGGAGGTTGCAGTAAAGGTTGATCATACCTGGCTTGGAGGGTATTGATATTGAGGGCACGTTTGGTAGTGGTACTGTCTCCGGACCACTGATTTCCAGCAAGTTTTTGTCTAGTTCTTCTTGTTCTAGTTCCTCTAGCTCTGCCATGAGTTCATCCTAGGATTTCAAGGAGAAAAAAAGAAAAAAAGAAGGAACTATAAGTTATATTTATTACCAATCAGATATAGCTGATCATATTATTAAAGCAAATAGCACAAATGCACAGGGTCAGAGCAAAGTGAGGAGGAGTCTGATTCTGATGTGGTTCCTGTACTCCATCTCCTGGAGGGAAAAGCAAAGGAGGGAAGAAGAAATCCATGTCTAAATATTCTCAGGTCAAGCCATCCAGACCATTCTGAGCATAAAGTTCAGGTTACAGCCACTACAACTGCAGGAGAGATTTCAGAGCCCAGTCCTGCAGCCAGGCACACAGAACATGCAGATCTGCAGAGACAGATCCTGGGGGACACAATTCCTGCAGGGATTCCAGAGCCTTCACAAGAAGATGTTGGTGCTCAGGGTTGGTGATGGGGCTGGCAGTGCTGGGCCAGTGGTTGGATCCCTGATCTTCCCAACCCAGAGGATTCCATCCCTCACTGGTACAAAGAGAAGCAAATGAAAAGCCATACCTCATCAAATTCCTCCCCAAATCCTACTGGCTTGGAGATGGCTGTAGAGATCTCATCTGCCAGCTCTTGCTGCTCTGCAATGTCCTGCATTAATTCATCTACTTTATCAATGTCCCTGGAAAAGAAAAGAAAGAACTCAGTGTCAGCAGGCACCTTCCCAACCAACACCGCATTTCCTGGCTTCTGTAGAAATCCCCACCACGGTGACATTTCCAAGGCCCTTCCCCAAAATACACTTTGCATGCAAGTCTGGGTTTTATCCCCCTGGTCTCAACACAATTAGAGATGTATTTTTAACTCTTCCCTGCAAGTTATACAGACACCAGGGAGAGGTTCTGTTCTGCACCACTGATATCAATAATAATTTGCTCTCTTCCCTGATTCAACATTATTACATCCACAATATTTGCTTGTGGAGCAAGCACAACATTCCCATAATGCAGTTTTACCTTTAATTATTGCTACATACACCAACTCCACTGCAGAAAAACAAGTTTTAAGACCCCCTTTGAGGCTTAAAATTCTTGCTGTTACAAAATTGATCTGTAACTGCTGCAGGCTCCCATTTTCTTCAGACCACACTGGTGCTACCCAGCTTTTGGATAAATGTAGAAAACAGTGGTAAACTGAGGAAGCAACATATGTGTGTGTTTTGTTCAATTTTAGTTTAAGTGAGAGCCTTTCACAAGAAGGTTTTGCTGCTCCAGCTCCACCTTTGGTTTGGAACAGCAGATCTGACAAATGCCAAACCACAGATCCCGTGGGAAGATACAGGAGGGAGTGACTTACATGTTATCATGAGCAGCTTTCATAGCCTTAGCAGCAAAGCCCATGTTCTTGAGCACTTCAGTGTTGGTGTTGGCATTCTCCAGGGCTTCCCTCTGGAATTCAATTGTTGATAACGTGCCATCTATCTGTGCCAGCTGCTTCTCATACCTCTTCTTGCGCTTCAGGGCCTGCAGGGCAGCTGCAGGGCAAAGGACAGGGTGGCACTGGTGAGCTCTGTGCCCCAAACAGCCCCTCACACTCAGCACAGAGAGACATTCAGCATGTTCTGCTGTTTGTGGTCTACACAGATCCCCTGTGCTGCCCAACCCTTGATTTGCCATCCTTCAGGGGTGGCACAGAGGTGGCTGCTGCCCTTTGGCTGTCACTTGTCACCTGTCACAGCAGATGCCAGCCCAGACTCACTCCTCACACAGAGACAGCAAGGTCAGGACTAAGTCTTTTGTCCTTGAGTGTGTGTGGCAGCCATCTTCCCATCTTCAGTGTCATGCTTTCTATAAGCTACAAGAAAGTAAACTTTGGTGGGTGACTGGTTGATGATTTATCATCATGGTTTGTATTTTTGTTTGGGTTTTTTTGGAGGGTTAGTTCTGGGGTTAATTCTATGTTTGTTTGGGGGTGGTTGCTACAGCAAACAGAAAGCTTCAATATCCAGGCTCATCCACCAAAACCAGCTTTGTTCACCTTCCCCCCATCACAGGAATGCAGCACTGCTGGCGCAGCTCCTGCCAGATGAGATCTCTGTGCTGCTGCAGATCCCCCTCCTGCTGAACCCCTGTTCAAACCCAAGGAGAAATGTTCCCTCAGCTTTGCACTTAGATGTGAAATACACATTCTAAAAATGTTGGTGTTCATGTACATTTTGTGTTACTCCTCCCAGAAGGTGTTTACACAACAGCCTGAGCTGGGAGAAGCCTCACTGGAGGTGGTTTGAGCAATTTGGGGCTCGTGGGCTGTGCAGGAGGAGCCCCCCAGGACAGGACAGGAGGGGTGGGAGGACGGGTCCAACCTGCCCTACCCAGCCAGGGAGCAGCCAGCAGTGCCAACAGCCCACAGCCAGCTCTTCCCAGGGCACCTGGGCAGAAATCATGGCCATTCCTGAGACAGACAGGTGTGAAAAACACGCTCATTTTCTTAATTTAAGCTGAATAAAGGACTTTTTAAAAGTTTAAAGAAGTTTAATAGGAGATAAAGATTATAAAGCAAAGATTATTACAGCCAGGTGTGTCTGGCATTCAGCTAAGAGCACATTTGCTATTTTGGAAACACTCTTTATATCCTATTTTTACTGCATTAGTTACATATTTATAAACAATTATGCATGGTAAACTTTTTTCTTCAAATCACTTTAAAATATATATCTGAAAAAGAACTATACTAAACACTTCTTAAAATTTACATATTTTAAGAAGTGTTTAGTATAGTTCTTTTTCAGATTTTTTTTGACGCATGTGTATTCCCTGACTGTGGTTTTAGTCTGTTTTTATTATAGTTTCAGGCTTTGGTCCATATTGTCTTTAGATGGTGAGTGTTGATAGTTGGTGTATCTGTAGTAAGTGTCTTCTTCATATGTTTATTGAATATTATCTAAGTATGTATTTTAACATAAGCATACTTTTATCAGCAATTTCACTACTATGTCTAAGCTTAATTAACAACAGAAATAAAAACTATATATTTATAGCAAAGTTACTTTAACAGTACACATATAAAATGCATTGTAATATTTGTGAAAAGCCAATATTATAATATGTGTCTCAGAGTCTCACAGCAGAAACTATTTCATGTCACACAGGACTGGCTCTGCTAAAAACCAGGCCTGGCCCTCCCAAAAGCTCAGGCACACACACCAGGAAGGGTGGCAAATAAAAGCTTTAAATCTTTCCATCTCTGAGAGACATTCTTTCCAAGCAGAATTTTTTGAGGAGAGCAGGAAACAAGGAGTAGGAAATCCTGACAATTATCCAGGGGAGAGGTTCCCTTATCTCCCCTGGCAGAGGGCTGCCAACTCAGGGATGTGATGAACGTGTTTATAAAGCTGATGGAGCCCACAGGCAGCCCAGGTGTTCTGGCAGATGCCACCCTGAGAAGGTAAAATCCCAAACAGAGCTCCAGCTCTGCAGCTGGTTATGAATATGCTGTATTTGGTTCAATTCAAATTAACTAATGTGTTCCAGAACAAAAAAAGCACTTTTTTATGAGAAGGCCCAGCTAAGGATGCCAAGTACACAAAGCAGCTCAGGATTGTTTAGGAGAAGTCAGTACAAACACCTCAACTGCTGCAAGAGAAGCCAAGGACCCAAACCAAACCAAACCAAACCAAACAGTGAGTGCAAACCAAACAGTGAGTGCAAACCAAACAGTGAGTGCAAAACAAACAGTGAGTGCAAACCAAACAGTGAGTGCAAAACAAACAGTGAGTGCAAAACAAACAGTGAGTGCAAACCAAACAGTGCCTCTGCCCTGACTTTCCCTCCAGTGGTCAGAAAATCTGCCCAGTTTGGCCCAGTCCAACACCCCTGTGTGTGACAGGACTGAGGACAGGGGGTGTGCAAAGAACAGTGTTTGATCTGCAGAATGAGGCACAGCACAAACATCCCAAACATTCCAGATGACACATTGCTGGGATATTTGGGCTGCTTCATTCCACACTGATGGTTTCATTAAGGATATAGGAAGTTTTCTTACTCAGAAAGATTAAAAACTGTTTTAATAGCTGTGTTTGTAGAGTGACAGGTGCTGGGGAAATGCCCCACAACAAGGGGATGTGAGAATTTTGTGCCTCGTGGAGAATTACTAGCAAAACCAGAGATTTTATAGCATTATATAACATTATACAAAACCAAGTAAAATGCTACAATTTCTGTACAGCTCCCCACTCTAGCTTTCTCTGAGAACAATTGGAGTTTGGCTGCGTTTCATGCAGTGTTCAAAACAAACTGCTCAGACACAAACCCTGCAGGGATCACTGAGTGATCACAAATTCTTATCAGGATCACAAGTTCTAATCAGGATTGTTGGGTAACCCTGTCCCTCCCATTCCCACCCACACCTCCTGTGCACCACAACTGCCCTTCAACTGCTCATGGATTTGTAATATTTTCTGTTTCCCATCCCTTCAAACCAAGGAAAATACTTATTTTCTCCTCCCTAAGGCCAAAGATCAGGAACCTACTGAAATCTTATGAACTGCCAGAGTAACATGTTTTTGTTAAGTTTTTATTAAAGTCGAAGCTATAAAAACTTAATCTGAAGGGAATTACACTGGCTCTTTTTCTCAAAAAAAAAAAAAAAACCTTTTTCCAAAATCACAAATAAATAAAAGTGTTGGAACCCTGGTTGCTGAGAATTTTAAGACTTTCTGTGCTGCCAGGCACTGACCCTCAGAGAACACTGCATTGACCTGAAACTATAGAGAAAACTTCCAAAATTAAATAACAGAACTAAGATTATGAGTGGGTAGCTTGAATAGAAGTGTGTATATCACACAGTAGAAAAAGTTTAAAGTTTTATAATATAGTAATATATATAAAACAAGATAGAAGTTTTAGGGCAGAGACTAATCCTTCTTCTTTACCTTCTTCTTCATAAATTTGAGTAGTATTATATAATTAAACTTAAAAATCCACATTGCAAGCCACAAATAATTAGTTATTAAGTTAAAAGTAAAATTACTTTAAGTGTCATTTCTTAAATAAATTTATCCTTAAAAGACCTTCTAGAGAGAGACATACCTCTCCATTTTTAACTTATTAGAATTATGCACTACAAAACTCACAACTTAAGACTATAATATAAATAAGAACTAATAAACATCTAAGTCCAAACAAAAAATACATTTAATCCCAACCTTAACAACAACAACAAAAACAAAAATCCAAAAAAAACCTTAAAATAAGCACCAGAGACAGTGGGGTACAAATGTCCTGTAGCATTTTTAACTAATTAGAATTAAGCACTACAAAACTCACTATTTATAAGACTATAATATAAATAAGAACTAATAAATATCCAAAACAAAAAATACCTTCTCACATATTTCATCCCAACCTTAACCAAAAAAAAAACCCCAAAAAATCCATTAAACCCCAAAAAATCTCATAAAAATAAGCACCAGATACAGTGGGGCACAAACGTCCTGTAGCATTTTTAACTTATTAGAATTAAGTACTACAAAACTCACAAGTCATAAGACTATAACATAAATAAGAACTAATAAACATCTAAACCCAAACAAAAAATGCATTTAATTCCAACCTTAACAAAAAAACAAACAAAAAAATCCATTAAATAAGAACCAGAGACAGTGGGATACAAATGTCCTATAGCATTTTTAACTTATTAGAATTAAGAGCTACAAAACTAACAACGTTTAAGACTATAACATAAATAAGAATTAATAAACCTAAGTCCAAACAAAAAATAGCTTCTCACACATTTAATCCCAACCTTAAAAAA